TTTGTCAGCTTGATGCGATCAGAGCGCAATTTTTATCAGCGACATGAAATCTCGTTGTGTACATAATGAAAATTCCGTATTTTTATTTTCTACGTAATTGAAATGACGAATTTCCATACTTTTGTTATCTGCATAATGAGAATCCTATTTTTATTATCTACGCAATGGAAATCTTATTTTTATTGTCCATGTAATGGAAATTCAATGTTCATCGTGTATACGATAGGAATTACGAATGTTACATTCGTGGACACGATAGGAATTTGTTTATTGCACCGTAAGATTTACGCGGAACGAAGCAACAGATTTGAGCCGAATGGTAATAAATCGAATCGACGACCCGAGAAAAGTGTCGTAATTTGCTCGTCCCCAAAAAAAGTATTCTATTTGTAAAGTGATTTTACCCATAGTCTCATATTCTAAGCGAAGCCTTTTATAGGAAAAGGACTCCTCTTTCGATAAAGCGATTTAAGCGAACTATTTGTCTGGAATTTATTAGATATTATTCTATTTTCCTTTTGCTTCCAGAGGGTTTCCTCTTATATCAATTAATTTTCCTCTTACATGAAGAGGTCGGTATAAATGAAAAAATAATCATATGCAGAATATTGGAAACGCTTTTTAAAAAAGGTATGTGTTGCTATTTTTATTGTGTTGCTATAACATACAACGAAGGTATAATCTACCTGTGTTTGGTCAAACACAGTTTATAATCTATTGCAAGAAGTTGAATAATGTATTCTTTCCTTTAACTATGTTTCATATAATTGATTATGATCATCTATGAAATCCATAACAAAACTAATTGGAAATTTATTTGTCATGATGATCTTATTTCATTCGTGCCTATTTATTACAGAATTGGAGTCAGAAGTACATATATATATTACTTTTCGCTATACATTATAATTTTTTCAAATTAACTAGTATAATCAGTAAGAATAAAGTACAGAGGGAATAAATAATAATCCTCTTGAAAAAAGACTAAACAATCTGTGAATAAGAGGAAATTTATATTAAAATCAATAAGATTTGCATTATATGTATAACATATAATCCTTCCAACTATAAGAATAATGCGTTTATAATATTTTTCTCACAGAGGAATCCTCTTGAGGTCATATATAAAAATAAAATCTTGTAAAATTTAGATGATTCCGCTTCTGAAATTACTTTCTTTTTGGGTGCTTCCTACCGTGCTTAATACACTCTCCTTGCCTTGATTGACACAATAGACGCCAGGTGATCGCACGTCAATGAGAAGGAACGTCGATTTTTTCTCAACGCGGTAACGTCCGAGTCTGCGTAAATGACGCAACAAAGCGCCGACCAATTGACTCCTCGTAGAGGTGTACATCTATTATTATCCACATGGAGGGAAAATTCTCTCTCGGTGCAAATCATACACGCTCATGGCTTTCACAGGCTTCCCGGCGAGGACTCGGCGCGGAATATTCATGGCGGTGCGCATTAATAATCAAATTAATACGATATCCGATATGTTAACGGGACGATTAGCATCGTTGACGCGCCGCGGGACGGCGATTAGCGTTATCGCGAATCCCGATTGTGCGAGCGAACGTTCTTCTCGTTTGCCATTGGAAAGTACACGCGCGATATTCTGCGAGATTTGCGCCACCTGTCTCAGTTTTTATCGCCGTTCTATCGCCGATAAGAGGTGCCATTTAACTAATATGTCCCTCGATATCGCATCTCGATTGCGTTCACTCGCGATTTGCATATTTATACGTTTCGGTGAAAGAAGGAGAGAGGATCGCGCTTCCCTTCGAGAAAGATCTCGAGACGCGTCCTTGCCGAGTGGATAATTCATCGAAATCGTTGTAACTTTGATGAATCAAAAATCCAAATCAACTCACGAGAGAGAGAGAGAGAGAGAGAGAGAGAGCCGTGCGTTTTCGGTGAAATGCTGAAAATTCCCCGTCTTATTTCGGCTCCTGCGGCGTTCGATGAAAATTGGTCGTCGAGACTGACGAAAATATCCGCAGGTTGAAATTGAAGATCATCTGTTAACACTACATATAACGAAATTATTTATACACATGCGGAGGGAAAGGGAGAGAGTCGAAAGCAGGGAGAAACAGGGAAGAATTCGTCCCAGTAACTACATAGAGTCCGATGCGTCAGCCGGATTCCGTTCATACCTCGCTTTCGTCCTGTCACAAACCGCTGATCCATGAAGCTAGTGTACGAATTCCGCGCGGCAATCACCGTCGTGAATAATCTGTGATTCCGAAATGGTAGGAAAAAGCCCTCGGGCGGAGCCGACTTCGATTGAATATCGAGTAAACGCGACATCCCAATATTTTCCGACGATATAATTGACGGTCGTTGCTTCTTTCGGTTCTCTCGTAATATTTAGCGAGCGTATAAATATTACCCTCATCGCACACATATTTTTTATCTTTGATATGATTTGTGTAATTTCACAGCCGAAATTATTTCATTCACGTTAAATATATAAATACTTATTCCTCCTTTTTGTAATTTTCGATGCAATAATCTGCTTATTTTTTCGTATTATTTACTAAATATATTAATTTTAATTATAAATAATTTTATTACCCGCGTGAGTAGAATAAAATTACTCGTACCAGTGATAATAAGTAATTTTGTTACTTAATAAGTGACAAATAAGTAATAAAATTATTCATTATCCAATGGCCAATTTATTATAGCTAGTAATAAATTTCTATTAGGGATGTATGTATATACACACCGCTTTGTTAAATTTTTGACACGACAATTTTATTTTATTCATTTCTTATCTCAAGGATTGTCTTCAGATTTGATTGTTACGTAACGTCTCTCCTCGCGACGATCTTCGCGTGTGGGAAACACTTGAACGGCGCGTTTGTTTCCGTCACAATGCGCGCTTCGCGCTCTACGCGGCCCCGCTATAATATCCACGATAGAAATTCGCGCTCGCAAATCCGCAACGCTATCGCGGTAACGACTGTCTCGATTCGGATGTAAATCGTGACGCATCGCCCCGTGTATAATGCCGAGATAAACACGCCAAAGGGATAACCGTGTTATCCCAGCGAAACATTTAGTTTAGAGCGGGACTTACCGAATTAATTCGGTAGCGGCGCGTCGCGAAGTTAAGAGCGCGCAAGTGCCGGGGAAGTTTGAACGATATTCCCGGCTGCTTACTAGCAATTAAGCGAATCATAACTAAACGCTTTTGCGTAACTTTCGCCGTAATCGTTGCCGGGGTTGTAGCGTTGCAGGTAGTCGAGCTCCGTCTCCGCTGATAACCGAGCCTGTTATTAGTATATTCGTAATATCCGTTGCCATCTCGATAGCGACGTCCTGTCGACGGGTCCCCGTCGATACTCGCTCTGACACAATCTGCGGCAAATCGTGAGAACGGACTCGCAATCGAATCTTCGATATCTCCTTTTTTTGTCGCTGGACGGCCGAGACTGAGAGAGACGATTTGCAGCCGCAGCTGAATCGCTAATTCGCAAGGCGATAACTCGCGAGGCAAGTATCCGCTATTTTCGGATGAGTATCTGACGAATGTATCTGCGACTTTCAAGCATTGGAATAGAACGAATAGAAAATATAACAGGAAATGACGACACAAGCAGCGGAGACTGACGCACTGGATTTAAATCAGCGTGCACGTGGTAGTTTTCCCCGAACCGCATTTCCAGTCCTTCGAGAGAGATGAGACCGAAGAGTCGCGGCCGAAGTGCATATTCGCTTGTGTACGCGGCGCCAAACTTTTGCCAACTTTAATTCGCATTAACGAACCGGTAAATATACACGAGTTGGGAAATGCGAGTTGGGTAAACGTCGCCGGGCATTTACCTCTCTCGGCTACTCCGCGGCCATTGCGCAGAGGCGATTGCACATCGATGTGCAAAAAAATTTCATTGATATTGGCGACTTCGATGGCAACAATGTTCCTCCGATATCCTTCTTGATCCGTCCGTGTCGTTAAATATTGACGTTTGATGAAAATTTGGAGCGCTTGATAATTAGCATGTTTGGTGAGGAATTACGATCGCTTTAGCGTTATTGTATCAACTAAATGTAAGGCAAATATACTTTAAACATCACAAATTGAAATTAGAAAGGTCTCACCTGCTGTTGAGTCGCGTTATTTGAAGTTAAAAATATCATCCGATTTGCTATTGAAACGCCATTAAAATTACCGAGAATGAAATCTTCTAGCTCTTGCTCTTGAGATGTATTATTTAAAAATAAAACAACTCTTCACTTATTGTTGAGTTCTATTTGAAGGTAATTAGTACCTTTGATCTCTCCGTCAGTGAATCATATTATTTTTAAGTTTAAAGTCCGTCAGACTTTCCGTTGAGTCGTACTACGATTTTACGGCAGTAGAAACTGTGGCGGCTCATAGCGGAGACTTCGGAACTACACGTCGAAATAAAATAGCCAGTTTAAAAGACTTTCCAGAAGCGAATTAAAGAACTGGCTGGTGCCATCTGACGGTGCCGTGAGAAACCAATATTTTACTGGTTTGAAGTCAAACTAAGTTGGTTGGAGTCTCGACTAAATGACCCGTTACTTTCGTAGATCTGGTATTTATAGCGAGGTCGTAATACAGCTCAATGACAGAACAACAGTAGAAATGGACGAGACGTTAGGGAAAATAATTAAGTGATTAATAATTAGTCTTCAAATGAAAAACTCGCAAAATGACCTACCGAGTATTTTCCTAACCAAAGCTAATATTCGCCCTATCCAGCTGCACTTTGTGCGCCTTCTGTCGCATTCTTTCTCTGTTCCTCTCTCTATTATCAAACCCTTTCGACATATATCTGTCTCACCTTTTGATACAGAAAGAGCTACGTGGCGTAGTTAAAACTACCACGAAACTTTTAAATCCCCCTCGACTTGTACTCGTGCGATTGAAATGCCAATTAAATACTAAATGTTCCTCGGATGACTGAAATAATAGCTGGTCGTATGATCCATGATAGCTGTCAAATAACTTTTCGGAATAACAGCGATGCCTGCATATGTGGCGGGCGGCTGCAAGCAGTCGCCATCTTCGCTCGCATTGGCATCGGCCACGTCCTTAATTAACAGGAGTGTGTGTCTTGTTTAGATTGTTGATGCAATCATCGCAATAATTTTGCTCCGATATTGAACATAAGGGATAACCGCAAGATAGTAACAAGATGGTACGTAGAGAAAAGAATTTCATTCGTTTCTGTCCAATCGTCGTCACCTGGCATATATGTACATTATCGTCCTGTCGTCTTCAGTCAAAATATGCACTGTACTCCGAAATGACGAAAGATCAACTACTCACATGTACAGCGGACTTTCCCCAAAGAAAAATGTTATTCTTGTAAATCCTGTGCAAACACGTTCATTCATATTTATCTACACATTTCTGTATTTTCTGTTTTGTTTTTTATTTGTTAATGTTTAACATATATAAAGTATATAATAGACTCTTCCTAGCCAAAGCAAATCTTGTAAATATATACTTGTATATATTGCACATTTCTTCTAATACAAAATAATATAAAATAAATAATGTAATAATACAACGGTGACAGGATTAATAAATGTTCTACACGATAGATAGCAAGTAGATTAGAGAATAATAGTATGATATCAATGTTTTAATATCGTGAATTCTTGTTATTATGTTATATTTGTATTATATTTATGCAATATTGTAAGTTGAAAATTTTTTTTTCTAGCCTCTAAGGTTAGACATTAAGCGGAAGTTAACTGCCAGATCAGATAGAGTAAAGAGCGTGGATCTTCATCCAACTGAGCCATGGATGCTATGCTCTTTATATCAAGGCAATGTCAATATTTGGAATCATGAGACACAAACCTTGGTGAAAACATTCGAGGTGTGTGATCTACCAGTGAGAGCAGCAAAATTCGTGCCTCGCAAGAATTGGGTAATCACCGGCTCTGATGACATGCAAATCAGAGTATTTAATTATAACACTCTGGAACGTGTTCATACATTTGAGGCACACAGTGATTATGTCAGATGTATAGCTGTGCATCCGACACAACCGTTTATTCTTACCAGCAGTGGTATGTTAGAAGATAATATTCATAATTTTTTCTTTCAAACTGCCAAGTATACATTTCTCTAGCAGTTTACACAGGGACCTCTCCCTAACCTTAATTCTCTTCTCATAGACGACATGTGGATCAAATTATGGAACTGGGAAAAGTCCTGGATCTGCCAACAAGTATTTGAAGGTCATACACACTACGTCATGCAAATTGTATTCAATCCAAAGGATAACAACACTTTTGCTAGTGCGTCTCTGGACAGAACGGTCAAAGTATGGCAGCTCGGCTCGCCTACGGCTAATTTCACATTAGAAGGTCACGAGAAAGGCGTGAATTGTGTGGATTACTATCACGGTGGCGACAAACCATACTTGATATCAGGAGCTGACGACAAGTGCGTCAAGATATGGGATTACCAGAACAAGACCTGCGTTCAGACGCTGGAAGGGCATACCCAGAATATCTCCGCGGTGTGTTTCCACCCGGAACTGCCGATCGTCCTTACCGGCTCGGAAGATGGCACCGTCAGGATATGGCATGCTGGAACATACCGACTGGAGTCATCTCTCAACTATGGCTTCGAGCGAGTGTGGACCATCGCGTGCATGCGAGGCTCCAACAACGTCGCCATCGGCTACGACGAGGGTAGCGTCATGGTTAAAGTCGGCAGAGAAGAACCGGCCGTGTCGATGGACTCGTTGGGCGGCAAGATCGTATGGGCGAGGCATAGCGAAATTCAGCAAGTGAATCTGAAGGCGTTGGGCGAAGAGGCACAGGACGGGGAACGCCTGCCGTTGGCGGTCAAGGACATGGGCGCCTGTGAGATATATCCGCAAACTATACAGCACAATCCGAACGGCAGATTTTTGGTGGTCTGCGGTGATGGTGAATACATCATCTACACGTCCATGGCGTTGAGGAATAAGGCGTTCGGGCAAGCATCGGAATTCGTGTGGGCGGCGGATTCAAGTCAGTACGCGGTAAGGGAAAGCAACACCACGGTCAAGGTCTTCAAGAACTTCAAGGAGAAAAAGAGCTTCAAGCCAGACTTTGGAGCAGACGGTACGATATCTTTCCGCCTTGCCGTTAATTCACATTGATCACTCGGCCCTTCGTTGCACTTCGTTATCTTTTGTAGGCATCTTCGGTGGATTTTTACTCGGCGTATCATCCGGATCTGGCCTCTCCTTCTTCGACTGGGATACGCTGAAGTTGATTCGTCGCATAGACATACAACCTACGCATGTGTATTGGGCTGAGAACGCCTCTTTAGTAGCGCTCGCTACGTCGGATCAGTATTTTATATTAAAATATCATGCGGACGCTGTTGCGAACGCAGAGGAAAACGCCGAGGATATCGAGAATGCATTTGAAGTGAGTTACTTGAGTCTGAATTATTATACATTATATATATATATATATATGTGTGTGTGTGATTATCTTCGTACAAGTAGTACAAATAATTAATGTTATATGTTATTAGCGATTAGTTCTTAACGGATAATCAATTTCTTAATGGTTATAAACGCAAACTTTCAGATGGTGGCAGAAATGAGCGAGGTGGTGAAAACCGGCTTATGGGTTGGCGACTGCTTCATCTACACTAACAGCGTCAATCGTGTGAATTATTTTGTCGGCGGCGAAGTAGTCACGGTCTCGCATCTGGACAGACCGATGTATCTGTTGGGATATGTACCAAGAGATAACAGATTATACCTATGCGACAAGGAGCTGTCCGTCGTCTCGTATTCTTTATTATTATCAGTACTAGAGTATCAAACTGCGGTCATGCGAAAGGACTTTGAAACCGCCGACAGAGTGTTGCCAACCGTTCCCAAAGAGCACCGAACGAGAGTGGCTCACTTCTTGGAGAAACAGGTATACAATTTAACGACGCATACGCTGTTGAAGGCCTCGACAATGCAGCAAAGTGTTGTATAGCTTATCGAAAACTATTGTCGTTGTACAGGGTTTCAAAGAGCAAGCGTTAGCGGTGTCGACGGATCCCGAGCACAGATTCGAGTTGGCGCTCGCACTGGGAAATCTGGTGACCGCGCATGCACTCGCGAAGGAAGCGAACAGCCAGCAAAAGTGGCGGCAGCTGGCTTCCCTTGCCACGCAGAAGGGCAAGCTCTTCTTGGCGAAAGAATGTTTGTATCAAGCGCAAGATTTCGGCGGCTTGTTGCTGTCAGCCACCAGCACGGGGAACGCCAATATGATCCAGAAACTCGGCACGATCGCGGATGAAACGGGAAAGAACAATATCTCCTTCCTGGCGAACTTCATACTGGGCGACGTGGACAAATGTCTGGACATTTTGATCAAGACAAACCGAATTCCCGAGGCTGCGTTCTTCGCCAGGACGTACGCCCCCAGCCAAATTTCCTCCATCGTCAAACTGTGGAAGGAGAAGCTATCGGCGGTGAGCGAAAAGGCCGGACAGAGTTTGGCGGATCCCGAGCAGTATGAGAATCTGTTCCCCGGCTACAGAGAAACTCTGAAAGTAGAGCAGTTCTTGCGCGAAGAGAGCAAGAAAAAGATTCCAGCCTCCGCGTTTCCCACTGTCACGGTACGACCAGAAATATTAAATCGATCCGTCGCTCGTCTCAATTGATTCGCGGTTTAAAGTCACTGATATTTAACTCCACAGTCTAATATCGACCGGAAGCCGCTGGAGGAGATGTTGGCCGCTGAGCAATCGGGCGCGTTTCAATATAACGACAGCTCGATGGAACGCCCGAACAATGCATCAGACGGTGGAATATTGACTGACAGATTGCAAGACCTCTTGATATCAGGAAAGGACAACGATACAATCGCCACAACCGCGAAGCTTGTGGCGACATCTGTACCCGAAAAAGCGACGAAGCTCGCAAGTAGTTCCAGGCCTCTCACAGTGGACGACGACGACCTCGATATCGATCTGGAGATCGACGACACTATTGATACCACTGTGAGTTTTTTTTAGAAACTTCAACGTTGTTTCTCCTATTTGAAATATATTTCTTTTTAGTTTCTCCTATTAATATTTTAGATTGTTGTTCTGACGATAATGTACGTCAACAAATACACAACAAAGAGTGAAACATGTAACAATAACTATAATAAGTCTATCACAAAAATCGGATGTAAAATCCGTCAATAATTGTTGCTTGAAACTTATCTCATGTGAGTTATTCGGATCTGAATTTAGAATCAGATTTGAGTTTCTCGAATTTGAATCATATGTGATATTGTGTAATATATCATATATGTATCACGTAATACCTGACATCCCTGGCGAAAATATTTCTACAAGAAACTACAAGAAACTGCGTGAATTGGAACACTTTCAAAGAAAATAAGAAGTCATTTCAGACTCTGTAAGAATTCGAGAAACTGCGTTTCTATGAAATTCTTTATTCATTGCCTGAGTAATTATGCAATTTCTTTCCTTTCTTTAAACATTTACCTTGATTGAAATATTGAAATTTTCCTAGAAATAAAAAATGAAGAGTGGTAAATATGGAGATAAGGGACCACCCTTCCAATGTCAATAATTTTCATATTTGTTATCAAGGTCTTTACCCCCATTAATGTTATGAAGATTAACATATTGTTACATAATATGATTATAATATGATTATAGCTTGCGCTTATTGTTTATAACAATATGTTAATCTTCATAACATTAATGGGAGTAATGACCTTGATGACAAATATGAAAATTATTGACATTGAAAGGGTGGTCCCTTTTCTCCATATTTACCATTCTTCATTTTTTATTTCTAGGAAAATTTCAGTATTTCAATCAAGGTAAATGTTCAGAGAAAAGAAAGAAATTGCATAATTACTCAGGCAATGAATAAAGAATTTCACAGAAACGCAGTTTTTCGAATTCTTACAGAATCTGAAATGATTTCTTACTTCCTTTGAAAGTGTTCCAATTCACGCAGTTTCTTGTAGTTTCTTGTAGAAATATTTTCGCCAGGGATGTTACACAATACGTGACATTTTTAATGACGATTTAACTGAGAGACTAGCGTCCAACTCTAAAATCAAACTCCGGCTATCCCACTCGAAGCTTGAGGACAAGTTTCGAGTAGCGACTATTGATGCGAGATCTAAACTGAGATCGGAGAGAAGGCGTGAACGCGAATAAGAGATGGCGGGTGTACAATTAGGCGATGGTTTAGTGCCCTTAAGAGTATGAGCGTAACTTGAGAAGGGTGTAGCGTTACGAAAACAGGCCGGGAAAGGAGCCGTACGACATGCGTGCACACACGCGCGGTGCGTGCGCGCGTGTATTGAATCGCGTGCACACGGCACGACTAAAATGTATCTCGTATGAGCGTATCGCGAAAATCAGCGACAGATCATTAAGGTTTGCGCCGTGTAACCGATACGAACGCGGAGAGAACAGAGCCGCGCGCGCTCTCTCTCTCTCTCTCTCTCTCTCTCTCTCTCTCTCTCTCTCTCTCCCCCCTCCCCCTCCCCCCTCTCTCTCTCTCTCTCTCTCTCTCTCTCTCTCTCTCTGGAGCTTTCGCGAGAGCGAAACAAGCCCCGGGGCTTGTTTGTTCCGAGGCAGTCACGCTGCATTTTGTTTACAGCCTTGTTGCCATAACACTCGACTCCGGAGAGTCGGAGAGAGAACCGGAGCCCTCTCCTGCCAGAAGGTTCCGACCATTACTACATTTTGTCACGCTCTGCCTCCCGCCCTTTTCCATTCACTCGCAGCAGCGCTGCGTTTACGCACTCTCCCGCTTGGCCGCGCGTATCCCGATATTTCTCACTTTTAAGATTAGCTTACGGCTCGCAATTTGTAAATACGACATTCGAGCGGGGGGTGTCTCTCGTTTTACGGCTTGTTTAGACGTGGACCGTTGACTTTTGTCTTCTGTTGCAGGATGTCAATCTCGACGACGATCTTCTGGAGGAGGATTAACCGTCGAGACGGGAGATAAGCGATAAAGATGTACGCATCGTACGAGTATCTGTCATTCTCCTTCTGCCAGTCATTCCCCGTAAGACGAAGCGAAGAAATGAAGAACAGCGAGAGAGTCAGTTAGGATTAAACGTCGAAGAATCGCGAGGTTATCTCTGTCTCCTTTACTGTGCGCAAGTGTGTTTGTATCACTGCAAGAACTAACAAAGGTAGCACAGCGCGTATTTGTCGATTGGCATCGGCGATTAAAGATTAAATATATTGTTAATATAACAAAAAGTATAACGTGTTCGTGGCGCACTATGTCAATCTTCCATTTTATTGCAGACCGTTTCCGTTTCCTTGTCTCCCTAAACCGCAGCACAAGCACAAAAGAGACCTCCCTGCCATTTGCGATTTATCGAAACGAGCTCTACGAAATCGATCGAACTTTTGGCCGATCATATATATCATTTAAAAATCTACAGAAAACCAAGGTGCATCGAGGGAGCAAGCAAGAGGAACGTATCCGCGAAGCACCTTGTATATCGGCCGTGCGTATTTGCCACGTCGCCTCCGAATTTTCGGGTGGCCGGGTGGTGCGTGCGTGAACGCACGGAGTCGAATCGATATGCTCGTACGTGTCACAAGGTGCCGGGAAAAACAAAGAGATGCCAGTTAGCACGAGCCGTACGTGCTCAGCTGCGTGCTCACGTAAGAGGGAACCGCGCAGGGCGCGTGTGTGTTGAGGCAAAATATACTCGTTATTAACGCCAACAGGAAAAGGAGGTGCGAAGAATTGGCGGACTCATCTGAGTAACCGTGGAAATAGCGGCTCACTTTATTGTGCATTCTCACCTGTTTCTTTATCAGACGGAGAAAAGTATACACTGACAATACGCGGTATTAAACATCGGTGTTTCCGATTCGGACGATGAAGCCGCGCTGTAATGTGTTCTACGCGCAGAGGGAGAAGCAAGAGAAATGTATGTGAGAATATATAATTTCACTGAATTTTGCATCTCGAGGAAAGACCGACCTCTCCCTCGCGTCAACGTGAAGCTGACACCGTCGGAAGACTGAGAGAGAGAGAGAGAGAGAGAGAGAGAAAGTTTAATTTACTCTTACACGTGAGACATAAAATCGACGTAAGAACCACCGGCGATTAACAATCTATTTTTCCACTAGAGCTGCCAAAATGACAAGTTCCGACAAAGGACAAAATGATGCGAGGGAAATATGTTTATTTATTTTTTACGAAATGCATCATTTTAATGTTAACGCATCATTTTAATTTTAATGACGAGTAAAGAATATAAAATTTCACACGATGCGAGCGCGCATCGTTCGTGATTATCTGAGCGACGACGGCCGCTTATCGATCGCGTAGAGAGCGGTCAAGTCATTTCCTCCTTTTCGCGCTGTTAATACGATTACGGTGCATTAACACCGCGTCGACGAAGGTGCGTCTACGGCTGAAACGCACTCGCTGCAGATCTTCGACGATGCTGAGGTCGGCGTTCTCGAATTCGACGCTTTCGTGCGAGCGCGAAATGCACGAACGGGCTCTCCGTTCGTCGCACACATGCGCGCTTGATGCAACTCCGGGCTTTCTGACTGAAATGACGACGGAGGAAAAAATCACAATAGGTCAGATGAATCACAGACCTACGTTTGACGTCACGTCAATGCACAAAGTACAAATCATCGCCCGGTGTATGATGATAATTGCGTCCTCCGTCGAACGCTTCGCTTATCGCACGATCGCGTACGATCTTATTTCAAGATAAACTCGCTCAGTTCTGCCGCTTGCAAGTCGTTCAAATTCTGACAAACCTCCAATAGCTAGCAATTCTATTTTCATAATGCAGCGTAGAATACCAAGTTAATGAATTTAACGGTGGGAGACTAACGCTTAACAGACAAAAATCAAACATGGAAAATGTGCTCGCTCAATATTTGGTGAAGAATATCGGGTAAAAAGAATGACAACGCGTAATTTTACGTTCGACAGTTGAAATGCATCGGAGGATTGAATTTGCACACGTCTGTTATTACATCGTTGTCATTTGTCACTCTATGTATTGCTGTTACTTTCTCTCTCTCTCTCTCTCTCTCTCTCTCTTGCACGCGCGAGCGTATATACACAATTTATTTATTCGCACTCTCGCGCGTTCGCGGCAGGCGGGAATCTCTCCCGTGTGTAGCATTATTATTTCATTCGAATAGTTTTACGCCACATTTACGAGACGGTTTATTCGCGACTATACGTCCCCATAATTCTCGATAAATTAGCCGGGTTATTAAATAGAATAACTCTCTCGTACGGTGTGAGGAGTTACCAGCTACGTTCTCGTGGGTGTTCCCGAGAGAGAGCCGGACGGGATCTCACCGGCCGAATTTCTGCCGATAAATCGCGCAACGAAGATGTACAACCGTTCATGTTTACACTACTGAACAAAATGTAAGCTTTCGATATAAGAAGGAGAAATAGCGAATGTACCAGCGAGACCGGTGGAAATCCGCGATCGTCCACCCACGCTTACAGACAACGTCGTCGTCGCCGTGGCCGCCGTCGTCGTCGGTGGGCGAAGAACGAAGAAGAGGAAAAAGAAGAGCAGGTGGAGAGAGGAAGGGAGAGCGGAGAGATAGAGAACACGGAGATGAAGAAGCAGAAGAAGAAAAAGATAGCCGTGCGCCGTACTCGAAAATAGAAACAGCCGCGTTGACACTCCGCTACAAATTGTCCGCGTCATGACGCCTCGTTTTAAAAGCCACGCGCCTCCTCGCGTTCTCTTCGCTTCTCTTCCCGCGGGAAGAAAAAACCACTGACCCAAAAATGAGGCGCTGGACAAATCTTTTTCTCTTCCTCTGTCATTCGCACGGCATAGACCGGCGTGTATTTTTATTGATGCGTTTCTTATGGGAAGCTCTAAAGATACGCTGTAACTTTATGCGGAAGGACCGACTTTTTACGTGGCCGCTTCATCTCGACTCTCGATCTTGTCTTTCGTCGCGCAGTAATCCGCGATATTTCAGAAAGAGGGAAAAAAGCCAAACGCGATCGTCGGTCTCAAGCTCAAGTTTGTTTCATTTTACGTACTTGTTGAAACATCGTCCCATGATATTCGATTATTCGAGTGACTTGTTTCTAGTCGCGATCAATCGGCCTCTTTGTTCGCGAAATAAACGACGCGAGTGATGCTCCTGACTTTAAGCGGCAACGTGAGCTCGAGATGAAACGACAACGCACGGAGGAGTCGTGTTTCGCCGACAAATAGATCCGTCCGACGCCGAGCTATCGGGAATTTATGGCTCCTAGTTCCCACTGGAGGATTACCGTAAATTGACCGAGCGATATCCGACACTTGCCTCGCGCGACTCTTCTCTTTTACGACACCCGATTAAATCCACTTTTAACGATTTTAACGACCGTGTATTATAGCGCCAGTATCTAACTCGTGTGCTGCGATCGAATTAGAACGACGCGAAACCTCGGCCGTTCTGCGTGTTTAATTTCAAAATTTTCCGATTCATCGGAATCGGATCCGTCAAAAAGTTTTCATTTTGCCTCCAACGGCCAGCTTCTACGACAAAGGCATACACGAACGCCTCGATCGAAGGATCACAGGCAACAATAATTACTCGATTGTCGAATAATTTGTTTTCATTGTAATTTCATGAAAAAAAAAAGTCAAAACCTATTCCTCCTGACTGAATCAAAACTCCTCTCTCAAGGAGAACAGCCGACGTCATCGTTGCTCTCCGATCGAACGAAATAAGTAGGACGAGCGATCGTAGAATTGACTCGTCTGAAACGCGAGGAATCTCTCTCTCCTCGCCCTTCTGGCCTCGGGAGAGCTCGTAGAGCGGCGTCGCAGGACGCACGTGCGTGCGTGAAACATCCCGTGAAGCTGCTAATAGTCGCCTAAACGGTCGGCACAGTCGCCCTCGCCGTCGCTACATGTCACCGCCGTCCTCCACTTACACGCATCGCCACGCACGACGCACGTGCGTGTGAATCTCGCGTTCCTCGCGCTCCTCCCGACACTTCGGGCACGCGAAGTCACATCGCGCGATCGTCGCGTACCTTTTTGCGTCCCCTGAGACGCGAGTCGCGCGCGCGTGAATCCGTCAAGTGAGATCCGCCTGAAATGAATCGAAGAATAACGCTCTCCTGTCCCTGAAAGATACAATTCAGGATTTATTTCCCATATAAGCCCGCGCGCACTTGCGCGTGGCGACGATTTGTCGTTTCGACGATTTCACCGAGCGAGTGCAATTTCCAAGGTACTTGGAGGGAAAGGAACTCTCGGATTATTCATTATCAAGTAATCTCGAAGGATACGTTCTCCTATCGTGTGTTCAGCTTTCGCTGAGATCACTCGACACTCAGAGATTTATTATTCCGTATGTAACGAAGGGAGAGGGACGAGATTTTGGGACTTTTTTTAAAGACCAGTAACTCATATGCATCCCGTTCCACGAGCACGGAATAATCGCGACTCGATGCTCTGCGTACAGCTGTCGCGCGTCATTCAACGCTGCTGCTCCTCCTCGTCCCAATGGGCTTCGGTATGTTTTAACTTCGTCCTAAGTTCCATTGTCTCATGATCGCCCGAGTGGAAATTATATGTTCGCTACTGAAAATTCGAGGTGTTTTACGTGTTCGATTTCCACTTTGGTTTCGAGACGAAGTTATGGCGTGTTGAGTCATGAAATTCAACGTCCAGTTCAACCGGTCTTACATTTCTAGACAAATTTAGCTCGAGTCGCTTCGTACCATTGTATTCCCCGCCTGCACATTAGCCGTCTCTTCCGATCCGGAAATATTCGCTTTACCTTAGCGCGCAAAGCGAAGAGACGTGGCGCGCGTCGAGCAGGAGAAGGGTCCTGGAAGAGCTGAGGACGACGCTGTCTGTGTGACATCGGCTTTATTTCTTTGCTTGTCTACATTTAGATGAAAAGGAAATCTGAAATCGTCGCAAATTATAGTGACAAGTTGCAACTGATAAGACCGACGGCGTTATCGACGCCGGAATTCCTCGCAACGCCCGCTCGTTCCCGTCACGTGTCCGGCGCAGCGCGCGGAATTTATTCTCGGTCTCTCCCCGACGGGCGAGATCGTCACAGCTACACACCGAACGTCATCGACGTGCTCCTTCGCGCGGTTCCCAGTGCGGAAAATAAAATGCACGTGCTATTCCCGCTCCGATGCACGAGCGAGCGGTGTTGACGCGGCTCGGGCCCGGCAGCCGCTCTCCGCGTTTTACCGGGAATATTAAAGCCCACGGCGCACGGCTTGTTTGCAAAACAATCGCTCGCAAAACATTCGCCGGCCATCGGTCCGGTTCTCTCCCCCGATGTACACTTTTTCTCGTCGACATCCTGCGCCGCACCGGGACCGGCGGAGTGGCCGCCGGTTGCATCTAGGATGCAGGCGGCCAAAGCAGCGCGTACACGCCGGTGACTATTTTCGACTAGCCGTTCGTTGGAGCTAAACAAGGATCTCGCGCGTGTTCCCTCGCTCTCTCTCTCTCTCTCTCTCTCTCTCTCTCTCTCTCTCTCTCTCTCTCTCGCTCTCTCTCTCGCTCTGTCTCGTCGATGATAAATAATCAGGATTTATTTTCATCGCCTCTTACAGCCACTGTTACAGCACGGACTTTCTTTCGCACGTGGGCTTTCGTCGAATCATTGTAGTATACACTCAAGTCGTCGCGTTTGCTCTTGCCTCCTCTTTCCCCCTGGACGCGCGATTCCCACATGCAGGACACGAGCGAGAGGTAGCACGTGTCCCATAGAGACTAATTTATTTTAGTGGTATGATACATAAGACTAATTACCTCGCGGTTACGGTTTCCTTAAAGTCGTGCTATACGTAACGCTAATCGTGTATTTACATACCACTGTGGCCGCGGAGAAACAACTTCCATATAACTCGCATAAGACGCATGATTTGTACGCGCGATACTTTAAACATATAGTTCTATATTTATTCTTTTAATTCTATATGCCTACATACATAAACATATATATACACATATACATACGCGTATGTGTATATATACATATATAAAAGAACTCTGCAACAAGACGGCTTTTCTTACTACTCCCGTATCGCTCTCTTATCTTCTTACAATATATCTGTACGCGTTAAAAGTTACATTTTCGCAATGTTCGTGTCGCGATAGAAAGGACATCACCCGATCGTTCAACACGTTGACTCTGCTCTTCAACGGGGTCTCTCCATAGAGGTAACCGTCGAGATAAGTGCTTGATATTCTCATCGCTTAATATCGTCGTTTTATCATATTACACACAATATTTAATCGTTTATATGCATTATACGTTGGTGGTGATAAAAATGTAGCGTAGACGATATATATTAATAAAAGTCGCCGTTTTCCTCTCCCGAGCGGTCAACGTGTTAAGCAAGTATCGAGCGCGAAGGGTCGCCCTTAAACGCGATATGCGCGATGACACTTCTCGCGTTACAATTTTCGCATTTGATTTGGAAAAGATCGAGTCGAAATGACATCTCTCACTCTCGCACTCCGAACGGACGCTCTCTCTCCCGTCTTTCGCTTCTCTCCCTCTCAAGATATTGAATACTGTCTAGCAGTCGAAAACGAAGTACGAAGACAGAGGTATCTCCAAGTGGTTAATCGTGAAAACGGGATAAAGTTTTAAGAGATCGTTCTGCAATCGCCCGCGATAGCTCAGCGCTTCCCTCTGCCGCGGCTGGAATCGCGTCCAGCGGTCGGTGCAATCGCGCGATCCTCGCGACGCTCCGGAGAGAGATTCGGTCATCACCGGGCTCGGACGTATCCTCGCAGCGTATTACAGCCGCGATATTACACGCGTGCATTGAATATTGCTGACTGATATTGCTGGAACAGCGTTCGAGTACATTTTACAGTAGCGAGACGCGTCTCGGAGCCGCAGCACTTGCCTGTGGACGCGCTTAGGCGTCGATCGAGGCAAGAATTCAACGACCTGGCGGCAGCGAATCGCAACTACTACGGCGAACGGCAGAGCGAAGCTTGCTGAATTCATGCGAGCACGCGGGGCGCCTGGGGCTGAAGAAGGAAGGGACAAGTACGGCGCTGGTTCCTTTTCCATTTCTTTTTTTTCTTTTTTTAACATCGAGTTAACCACGACAACGGCAATTACACGAGTTTCATTAAAATTTACGTTACTCCCTTGCGTGATTAAATTTGCGTGAAGAACCATCCAATAATGTTATTAAGTAATTATCGGACATACTCGTTATACCTTCGATCCGTCGCGTTGTCCAAGTGCTCGACGACGCGCGCATGCACGTGCGCACAGCGAAATCCATCGTCGGCGATTCGACGGCCGTTCATCCTATCCGTCCGTGCGACGATATCGCGCGGGATCCCCGCCGCGACGTCGTCGGATCACACTCGATGGCCGGGACTCCCGCGAGTTCACATAAAGCACTTGGAACGCGTCTGGAACTCCACAGGTGCGAAGCCTGTCGTGGAGACGCCCGACGACGCCGCGGAGCCCATCATACCGGACGGAACGCCGACGCCGCCGACGCCACTGGCCGATACGGCGTTGCTGCCGGGTTCCTCCTTCACGTTCACCACTGCGACAATTAGCGAACGATACGTACGTGCAGCGCTCTGCCGATGGATCTGACTTCATCTAATTTCTCCGACCAATCTAACAGCTGATTTCACAGCGACTCGGTACTCAAAATCCCCGCACGACCGACACGATGCGAATTCCGCGAGAAATGAATAATATTAGGTTGGTGCGAAAATAATTTTTAATTTTTTGTAATAAAATAAATTTGAATAATAATACAGTTTTTATAATAAAAAAAAATTGTTTTCTGCGGTTTTTATCATCTTAAGTTTGCCGCCGGTTTTTCTAGTCACCGTTATCTTTTCCAGAATTCTATCTTGTAGGAATAAACAAACTTGTTTCCCATTGGGAGAAATCTGTGCAGGCCAATGGTCTTTATTTTGATCAATAAATGTAATTTTTAACTAATATGTACGTCTTTATACTCGATATGTAAAAACCGCAATTATTCTTGCACCAATCTAATAGTAATCTTCATCGCTCAACTTACGAGCATCTGCATTTGCGATTGCTCTGAAGTCACAACAAGAACATGCAGATATCAAAGTAGTTGATTGAAAGTACTTACTCTCTGGCCAGTAGCATCTGCCGGGCATCGTTTCCGTCGCCATCGCGGCGTCGTGTCTCCTGCCGCACGTGGCGAAACTGCTACCGAAGGAACCGCCGCCCATGGAACCGGGAGACCCGGTCGTGCCACCTGGAACATCCAGGTAATTGCCTTGAAACGCTTCGCCTGGTCGTTCGGTATTACCCCGCTCGCGAAAGAGGGGAGGGTAAGAACGAGAATAGAGACTCACTTAACGAAGTGCCCAGTTGACTGTAGCCGTTCATCGCTGGGATTTGCATCGATTGCATCGGTTGCAATTGTGGCTGCAACTGCGAGCAAGAAGAGTCACGGTGATTTGACTGAACGCGATTGTCGAGATTTCAATGTATCGTACGAAAGATCGTAATATCGTAATATACCACGATACAACATGAGAACTCACCGACTGACAATGGCTGTACGAGAGCTGTGACTGCTGAAGACTCCATGCGCTGCAATGAAGAAAGAGATACAAAGTTGTGCATCTTTCTCGACCAGGCAAGTCTAAACGTTACGAATGATTATGGGTTTTATATTTAACGGGAATTCCCGACTTGCACGTCTTGCTTGAAAACTGAAGGGAGAAGAGCGATATCTTTCTCCTCTAGGCTCTTTAACAATTATTACTGAGTGCGCGCTGTCAGCGAACGTTCTAATCGCGCGCGATATTCGCGAGTACCTC